CAGGACACTTGAGCTGTGTGTCACCCACACAGCTGGCCATGTGGCTGCCATGACTGATCTCTGAAGTCCTGACTGACACAGAAAGCATGCCCAGCAAGAGGTAAGAAAGAGGCAGCTTCTCCTGAGACCCAGTCAAGGAAGTGACTTTGGTTCCGGACGTTAAACAGCTCTCCCCTCTTCGGTTCTCATCTCCTCATCTTAGTACCACAGTTTGGGCACCTCCCTCCCCTCCCACATCTACAGTCTGAACCCAACCTCCACTCTCCTTTGCTCTGAAACACAAAAACACAAACCTTTACATTTTCCCGGGATGGAGGATGCTGGCTTAATTATCGTTTGATTACCATTTGATCATTTCATACCACTGCCTGGTTCCCGGTGATGCCGACAAAATAAATCTATCTGAGCAGAAGTCCTGATCCTCATTAAAAGATCCTCTAAGGTGCAAGGCATTTCTCCCCCTATAGTTAAGTCACACTTGGCAAGGTGCTGAAATTCTCTGGTTCCAGTTTTTCCAAAGACAACCGAAGTTTGGATTTTTTTTTTAATGTCAAATCTCTCCAAGTTTTAAATGTTGACAACCATTAAAACATCTTTAAAAACACAGGAGCCAACTAAACACCTGCTGTTTTCTCTTAAAATGAAAGGGCTGAGCTGAAGGAGTTCTAAGATCTCATCCAGCTCTGATACTAAGATATTCTATGATTAATGGGTACTTTGCTTTAGGTGAAATGATCAAATCAAATTTCTCCATGTAAAACGAAGTAGTTAAGAGGCACCTTCCCTTGAAGTACAGCCAGAAAAGGCAGCTGGTCTCAATGATTCTACTGATCTTTTTCTCTTTCCTCCCCGAAAGCATATCACCTACATGCAGTTTCTAAACGTGTCAGACGTCTCTGATACAACATATAAAGTGGGCCACATGCAGCACCTCCCAGGGAGCTTCTCCAGGACAGAGCTGTGTCTCGGTTTCATCGGTGCATCCCCAGGGCCTGACACGGCCCACAGTGAAGGCTCCGTCTGTGCGTGGAAGGTTTAAGCTCCCTGGAATACAGCTCTCAAGGTCCCACTTCAATAAGAATAGTTGTAAGGTACAAAATTCCACAGGAGATTTATATTAAACACTGGCTATCCGCACACTGCCCTCCCCATAAAAAAACCTTTAGGTCATTAGCTATAACCATCCAAAAATAATAAGTCAGATAAATATTATTTCTACATGTTGTGCATTTAAGACCTCTTCCCAGCCGCTGGCTCGTATTTTTGGACAGTGCTTGGTGACACCGTAACTCACAAGCCATCTTTCCCTCTCAGTAGATACATCCTAAACTCAAAGCAACAGATCCTGGGGCCTTAAAAACAGAGCTGTCAGAGGGCTGAACGCAATAATAAGGCGACATTTAGTGATTCTAAAAGCAGATGTGGAAAGAACTGGGTTCTCCAAATGCTCTGGTTTCCTTGAGATCTGGGGGCCTCACACGTGGTCAGAGTGGGGCTCCTGAAGAAACTCCACGAAGGCACTGCGACGGCTCACCCCCCTGGTGGTTTGTAAGAAGGGTCTTTAAGCACCATCCTGACCTAGTTTTGAGGCTCTGGTCAGAGGGCACTCAGTCCTCTTTTCCAGCAGCTCTGGTCCACACCCCCAACCACCTGCCATGTTCGGCCCCCACACTCCAGGCCTATCCGTCCAGGGCCCACCAACAGGATGCAAACCAGCACCTCCTAACCCTGCTCACCCCGCCTTGTGTGCAAAGCACAGCAGAGGTCACGGCCCGTGCCCTCTGCACGCCTCTCCCGAGTGGCCCAGGGCAGGCACGCTGTCCTCCCCAGAGAACGGTGGGTACAAAACTGGAAAAGGCTTTCCGGTTTCTCCCTCTTGATCTACATCTGGCCTCCCCATCCCTCATTCCTTGATGGCAAAGGTCTGGGGGCTGCTGATAGCTGATCACAACCTAAAAAAGCCTCCACGTCTTCAAGGTCAGGAAGGGGTGACTCAACACATGGACCAGGGAAAATGATCGTTTCCTTGCATCAAACACAAATGTCTCAGCCTAAGAAATCTGTCAGGGACGTCCCTTAAAGGTACACTTTCCCGGCACGGGCTTCAGTCAGATACGTCAACGTGTGCAGACGCTGGCACACGGCGCCCCGGTTACCCCGAGTCTTCTGAGACTGAGCACAAGCCGGGCGGGTCCAGGAGGCCCTGGGCTGCGTGGAGAGCAGGATGGCTTGTAGTCACCTGAACGGGACTGAGCATCCACTCGTGTCCCAGGTAACAGATGGCAGCCTCCTGGCCTTCAATAAGCAGACCCTAATGGAAAGTCAAAATCATAAGGCAAGGCCTTGGTGCGACAATGGGAACGCAGGCCCCTCACGGCGCAGGAAGCACTGCCTACGGTGCGGGTCTTACCTCAGAGGCATTTCCTGCAGAGACAGAAGCAGCAGGAGGTTAGGGCCTCCCCTGGCTGTGCTGGGGAGTTCTGATTCTCAAGCATTTGGTAACTGCCTTTGGTAACTTCCTAGCACAGATCAGAACGCTGCCAATTAATAAACCACTGCGAGCTGAATGACAGGCACACACGAGGGTGGAGAGTCTAGCTGAGGGATTCTATGTCAGCACCGTCTTTTCCAGCAAGTACAATTCACACGACCTTGTACAGCCACTGAGCTCACCCTGCCTTACCCCGCAATCCCCTCCGCAGCATGGAGGCCCTCAGCCTCTCCAGCCGGGCCCCCAGGGCGCTGCTGACCAGGGGGCTCTCCCAGCCAGGCTGCTTTTCCTCCCCAACCCCCGCTGAGTGGCAGCACTAGCAACCCGAGGTACAAAGCCAGGCCTTTCTCTTTTGCTGCCTCCTCTTAAGAGTCCAGGAAACAAACACCCCCTCTGCCCACCTCCCTTACAGCTACAGGTGGTCCTACAACCCAGTTTTAACCCACAGGAGGTCTGCAGGGGGCTCCTGACAAGAATTAAACCTTCCTGATCAGAGGGAGCTGACCACAGCCAGCAGAGCCACCCTCCTCTCCCCAGCCTTGAGTGGACATGAATGCAAACATTTACATTGATAATTGCTCTGTACAAATGCACATATTCTCTCTTAGGCAAGGGTCAGAAGAATAAAGACAAACCTGTAGATGGTTATTCGTTCTACAGAGGTGTGTGGAGGTCCGTGCATTCATGCCAGCACCCCTTGGGGAAGACTTTTTAAGTTAAAACGATGTCTACTTTAAACATAACAACAATAAATACTCTTAGTTTGGACCCACTGTTCAGAATTTGGCAATTTCAGGTATATTTCCTTCCACATGGTTCAACTTATGAGCGTCCATGGTCTAAGTGACCCGGAAAGTAAACTAGAGGACTCGCTCCCACCCTTAATTCTGTGCTGTTCCCCACTCCAGGTGTTGGACCCGTGCGGATAGAAATCTGAGGATGAGAATCGAAACTTGCACACGTCTCTGCCGACACAGAAGGACAGCAGCACTCAGAGGCCACACGGCAGGACAAAGTTCATGGTTAATTTGTCTACCCACACCATGCAAGTATCCATATAAATGTTTTCATGATATTGAGCAGAGAAACCATAAAATTCATCCATAAAGCATCTCTACTCTCATCCTGTAATGAGGATCCGCCCTGCCCAGGAAAAGACACAAGGTGAACACAGGGAGGTGCCTCCCAGCCTCGTAAACACCAGGGAGCAGAGAAACTGAGGCTGAGGAAGCCCCTCTCACACACATGTTTGGACAGAAACAATTAACACTGACTTGAAAATACATCCCTAAAGAAAATTTTTTTGAATGAGCCCAAAGTTTTCTCTTTTGCTCTTGCCTGTGTTGAAATGAGTCTCCAGAGCAGGGAAAATGGGGAAGGATACAGAGTTCGAGGTGCTGGGTCATGACTCAGAACATAAAGGAATCTTCTCAGGGTTAAAACAACAGGAAACCACGGGACTGCCTCCTTGAACCTGTCTCATTCAACTCTAACCGTGGACATCTGATATTAAATCACACGTTTTGCATATTTTCCCTTCATCCAAGGGAAAGGCAAAGGGGGTATTTTTTTTTCCTTAGATGAACATGGAGTTGTGGGGCTATGGCAAAGATGCAGGCTGGGTACACAACTTGGATCAGCCTTGCTGTGCCCCAGTGCCTGGGCACGGCCCCTGCTTGACCACACACTAGAGGAAGTGATTTTTTTCAGGCAAACGCTCAATCTCGTTGAGTCTCCAACGTTTCAACTGTAAGATGGAAATAATCTTGAACTATATTAAATCTTTCCTTGGGTGGGTCAAAACTGTTGACAACCGCTATGCCTGATGATCCAACCTAATAATTCTTGCCCTGCCTATTTACAGGTTTTTTTACGGGAATAAATAAATTATTTCTGTGAATGTGCAGAAAAACACTGTAACTCTGCAAAGAGCATTAACTTTATGAACTGGAGTAGTAATCAGTGTTTTAGATGCTGCACGTGCAACACTTTACAAAAAAATGAAATTATGGAGGTAGCTCTCAGCACCCTTCTTTAAAATGCAGATTCTGGGCCCATCCGCGACCTACCTAGTCAGAAACAGGACATGGTGAGGAACGTGCACTTCTTACAGGAACTCCCGGGGATGATCCAAGTTGGAGACAGTATTTTTCCCAGGAAGCAAATTGACCTCTTTGGTTTGGGGTGGCTTTCTGCTGAAATGGAGGTGTTACCCACACCACTTGGTATGTCCCTTTCCTCATCAATTAAAGAGATTATAAAAAACCGAATGTGCTCTTTTTTAATAACTGGGAAGAGACTTCAGGTAAAGTCAAAAAAATGAACTCAGTCACTAGTTACTAGGAACTGATAAAACCCGACGAAGGTGTCATCCTTTGCTGCAAGACGTCTTCATCACCTTAGTCCGTAATCCACATCTTTTAAAGAGCTCTCAGTGTTGGAGTTCCTGGAGGTGACCCGTGACCTCCCCGGCAGCAGGGGCTGGCTGCCCCAGGCCGGCGTAACTTACCCCTCAGAATGTAGTTCTGATAGTTCTGATCGGCCTCAGCTCCCACCTTGATCAAACACGTCAGGCCTTCAGCCACTACAAATTCATGCACCAAATCCTTGTCATCCTGGCAGGAGACGGGAAGAAGAAAAAGAAAGAAGAAGAGACTTCAAATACTGTCCCAGTCCATCCTCTACCCAGGCTGTGCTGTTAAAAGTACGAACAAGCCTTTGAAGCCAGACCGACCTCTGAAGATTGCTCTGCTCTATTCAAATGAAGCATCTTAACTGTTGTCAGAGGAATTTCACAACCAGTCTTCATGTTGCTGTTTGCCAAAGACCAATTAGTGCCTTCTGGGCAATCTAATAAAGATAAAGCAAATGAACCCCCTGGCTGTCAGGAATATTTATAGCGATCTGTTTTTCATTCTTTAGAAATCGCCATGCTCCGCTCCCCCACCGTCCCTGGGGACCAGCCACATGACGCTGGCTGGGTTTGAGCACAGGAAACACTGGGCTGCAGCGCAGACCATCGAGGGGAGGATTCCAAGCGATTCGCATGCTTCAAAAGACAGTCCCTAAGGATGGTTACCAGGGGCTTGCAAACGGTATCTGCGAAAGCAAGGGAGCAGTGTTTCCACCTCCCAAGTCATGCTGCTTGCAGGACAAGCGAGGAGGCAGAGCTCAGAACCAGCCACACTGCCCCTCAAAAGAGCCACTTTGGTCGGCCTGCAGACCTGATCAGAGCAGGCAGGACATGGAAGGAATCTCAGGGGCCGTCTAATCCAGTGGCTCTCAAAGAGAGGTCTCCAGACCCACAAGGCACATGAGCATCACCTGGAAACTTGTTAAAAAATGCAAAATACCCGGCCCCATCCTGACTTACTAGACAGGAAACTCCACTGTGAAGCCCAGCAATCAGTGCTTAGCAAGCCCTGCGGGGCATTCAGCGATGCTCAGTCTTCTCACCCCTGCCTCCCTCACAGCAGGATCATCTGCGGAGCTTTGAAAAGGAACAGGAAGCAGGTCCCTACCCAGATGGATTTCATCAATTTGTGGGGTGGGGCCCAGGCTCTGCTATTAAACTCCCCCAGGAAATCCTAAAGGGCAACCAGCTCACGAACCACTGATCTAATCCGACCTTCTCTTTGCAGATAAAGATTCCAGAGTGGCAAACCTTTGGCCAAGATGACCCAACTAGGTCCAGCCAGCCCCCAGCTCCAGTCACTTTCCGGCGGTACCAAGTTCGATGGAGCTCTCTGGGAGGGATATTTCCACTCCTGTTTCAGGAGCCTGCCTCATTGGATTGTGCCTTGTCTCAAATGCAGCTAGGACACATTCATCTCCAATTATAACAACAGAGCAAAAATAAAAAAACCTCAGTGATGTAAATAGCAGAAAGCTTAATGGAATAATGAAAGGTTATTATTCTAGGAATGGTCAGCAAACCATGATTTCTCTCCAAAAAGAAAAACATAATTTACACGCACTGGCACAATTCTCTTGTCTCTACGTTGAAATTAGCTCCTCGTTTTGATTTTATGGCATTTTCCAATTATATGGATGGAGGACTTGAGTTCAGTGGGGGCAGCCAGGCAAAAGCTCCCTTTGAATCAAGAACACACTCTTGCGGTCCAGAGGGCACGGGGGTTGGTGGGGAGTGAGGCGCAGGGTGGGGGGAGCAATGCTTGTGCCCCGAAGGTAATGAGAGACAGCTGTGCTAAGTCAGACTTCAAGATAATCATGGCTTAGGAAGCAAGAGAAAACGGGACAATATCATGAGCTTTTGGAAAATTACTTTACACTCATATGTATAAAGGAAATAAAAATAATTCTCCCTCCATCCATGTTCTTTTCCACCAGCATATGTGAAAAGTGAACATTTAGATGAGCTCATGTCTAGTCAGAAAGGTTTTCCAAGCATGTAACAAATGTTTATTACTTTAACTAAAGCTAGATTCACACATGACTTCATGGTGAAAAAGTACGAACAAGCTCTCAAGAAACCACTCAAGCTAATCGCTAATATTAATATAGCAGAGAGTTGACTGCCTGGCCAAGGTCCTCGGAAAAAACACTGGACAGGGGAGACGGTGTTTACAAAAATAATTCAGTGCCCTAACTAAAATGTATGCACATATATAGATAAGGTGCTTAGGAAATAAAAACACACGGATAAAAAATGTGGAGAATGTCTTCCGAATTGGCAACATACAAGATTTTGAACACATATCTTAAAATATATGGGCATTAATACATGATTTTTAAAACACTGGTTTCTGACTAGAATGAAATCAAAATTTTAACATTAACTGATAAGAGATTATCCTCGACTTTCAGAATTCTCCATAAAAGCCACAATTTAACCTGTGGTCATTTTTTTTTTAAATGCCTACTGGTCAATGAATATTCATCTCAACCCAAATAACCAACGGCTCTTTCTTTACACCCTTATCCTCTAGTTCCGAAAAGAACCTCCACGTCTAGAAAATGTAAGAGATGATGGAGATACAGACCCGGGGCTGTGGAGAAGGTGATCTAAGCCCCAGACCGCTTGTAGCCTGTGGAGTCCACCCAAAGCATCCCTGCCCTGTGGTTTAGAGCTGTTCTGTGCACGGGTCTGTGGTCTTCCAAAGAGATGAAACTTCTGGTAGCAAACACCTTCTTCCCTGCCTACATAATGCCAACAAAGGCTGCT